CCTATGATCTCTAAAGATACCCCAGGAGCATTACCTACAGGAGCTGCTACTTACTCTTCCCTTCTCATCCCTTATCCTTTGACTTCCAACCATTCCTCAGTGCAGCAATGTATCTCTGATTCATTATCAAGGCCTTAGTGACTATTATCATTGTCTGTTTGCTCTGCTGCTCTTAAATTGACCCTGTATAAATGATGGGTGAATTGTGAGTCAGAAGAGTTTGTTCTTTGCTGATGTTTTCCAGATGATACACTGCAGAACTTCTATTAGAACAGTTAATTATTGTGATCTATCCTTTTTTTGGTGGCTGATAGTCTTTACCTCCTTAGCTGACACATCCAGCAAGTTTACACATCCAAGAGTGAGGCAAATCCGTGTGGACACAAACATTCCAGGTAGTGTCCTCTGCATGCTGCTTTTGATGTATGCTCCAAATTCAAAAGAAATTTCAAATATGGCTGTTCCAGACAGCTGAACTAATTAAGTGGTTTTGAGAAGAAACAAGTGGGTGAAGGACTGCATGGGGAGCTCAAGTGAGCCTACCTAGGAGAGAACAGTGCTCTGCATGGAATTACTTAATCTTGTGTAAATGTTGCTTAGGAAGCAGAGAAACAGAGCTGAGGGAGAAGTTTTCTAGGGATAGTGATTCTGTCATACATAACGTGTCTTCTGCAGTTTTGACATTTTCCTCCTAGTTTATATATCTATGTGAAATTTATTTGTACTTGATTTATTGCTATATCAAAGGCTTCAATTCTGAGATGATTTGGTTCAGCAGTCCCTTGATTCAACAAAGGTCTGCAGATACCCAAGGTGAGCTGTGCTACTAGGGGATTCTCCTAGGAGCACTTATTGACAAATATTTTTTGTAATCTAAACAGAAACTGAAACATCTTCTTGGTCTGTTTTGTAGAAAAGTTTTCCTTCCCTTCCTGCCTTTGGGAATAACTCTATGGATCTTACTTAAAGCTATGCACCAACAGATTTATGCAACTTTACCTTCAAGTATTACTTTTCTGTGCCTCTTCTTCACAGTGAGTTAAAGGGCTGAGTGTCAGTAGTACTAATCCCAAGGTTTGAGGATTTTGTATGTATTACAGAGTAGGCACTGTCTCTGAAAGAACCCAACTAGTAGTACAAAGATTCCTAGAGGCTGAAATAATTGAAAGTGAATTCTGTGATGAATGTTCCTTACAGCTGGACTGTTGGAGAAGTCTGGCTGGAAAGGCATTCAGCATAAATTTCTAGGCTCTACTTCAGTTTCACCTTATCACTGTGTTACCTTTAGCTGTAATATATTCCTCTCTAGAGTTTGATCTTGATATCTAGGGAAGAACTTTTGTGATTTCATAAGATGATTGATGCATTGCCAGATGTATATTCAGACTTTTGAGAACAGCTTAATATATTTTATATATAAATATATGTCTGTGTACATACATATATATGTGTACATATATATATAAATATACATATAAATATATATATATATATATACACATACAGACTTCAGTGTGTTTCTACCAGACTGTCCATCCAGACTACTTCAGTCTGTTTCTACCAGCCAAATTGCATAGTGGCATGTCAAAATTAACACATGTCACTTGTGTCAAAAGCTGATAGGAACACATTTACAGTTGGTTTACAACTGAAACAGTTTCCAGGAGCTTATATAATAGGGTTTTTTTTCCTAGTTGAAGTAGCAACAAAAGATGGCATTGAATGAATTTCCAGTTTTAATTTCTCCTTTTTGTTTTCTTTGTCAGGAAGGACAGTATTATTACTACTTCTCATCTGTTCATTGTTAGATCTAAATACTTTTAAGTATTCTCTGTTCTTCACACAAAAGAACTTACAACTCTAAGAGGACCAAGACTTTAACTGAATCCTTAGATCTGTGCAGTGACCTAATTAAGCTGCTGTATATCTCCATAGGAATACAAGCACAATCTATCACAGTAGCAAGACCAGGACCCAAATTAGGATAAAAAAACTTTTGAACAGAGAAAAATCATAAAGAATAGGGTGGAAAGTGTTACAAATTTATAGTTATTTTTGATGATTTTCAAAATATCTCTGCTTTGGATGATAGTCACAGCCTAGGTAGTTTTAGTCAGCTGAAGTGTACATGCAGGATAGAGTTCAGGCTATGGAATTTGTTTTCTTGGTAGCCATACCAAGAAAGATTCAAATTAGTTGCATAGAGGCTTCTTTTTTGTCATCTTAGGGTATCTGATAGCTTGAATAAGTTTACATGTCTAAAATGGCACCAGAGGCCTATATTTAAATGCATTATGTGTCTTCTTGACACTTTTTCAGAATCTCAAATATATTTGACAACTCTGTTATGTCCGTACACCTAGTTACAGTTCTAGTGTGAGCCTGACTTTGTATATGCAAACTCTGCATATGCAAACACGATAAAAGTTATCTCAAGAAGAGGATAATAGCCTCTTGAAATTACCCTCTATCTTTTGTTTAGAAAATATTTCTTTCTAATTGTTTTAAATAAAATGATCAGGCTTTTATGTTTTTAAGGTATGATTAAGGTGTGATTCAGAGATGTGTAGAGTCTCATTTTCTTCTGCTTTTTTGGAGACAGTTCTTCATGTCCTGGTGTGCAGGTATTTTGGATATTTTTTAAAATTCAGGGAAACCAGAACCTACTTCTTTAGATGCCTTAGTAGTTTGACAAAATTTGCCATTCATTCCCAATTGTATAAGACAAGAAAGATTACTTTCTCAAAGGTGTTGTGAAATGAAATCATTTGAAGATTTTGGGATCTTTGCAAAGTGCAGGAGGGACATTAGAATACTAGGGTGTCATTGCAATCAGAACTACATAGTTATCCATATAATCTTATCACAGTACTATATATTTCAGATTTGGAAATAGGGAAGAGTTGTGCCCTTAAAGACTACTGGATAGTGCCAAATATTAAAAAATTAATCTGCTGGAATATGTTCCATTCCAGAATTTTGAAACGCATAGTAAAAAATTCAGAAGGGACCTTCAAAATTTGTTGTTTTCTCTTTCTTGAGACTCATGCATGCACTTCCCTTGTGTAACAGCTTTGAAACCCTGAGCTAAATCTCGCTGTTCAAAGCCCAAAACACTTCAGAGTGTAAACCCCTCTAAAGCTATTAAGGGATGTGAAACTGATTACATATGAGTTTTCCATCTTTTTAGTGAAAGTCTAATAACGTAGTAAGTAGTATCTTCTACATGGAACGTGGGAATGATCTGTTTTGTTTCACTTCAGAGTCCTCTCTGGAAGCCAAATTATAAATTACAGCATGTGCTCAGGGGAATCTAAGCACCATTCCTTCTACTTGCTAAAGCAATCCAAGAAGTCCAGGACATTTAAATACTCTAATAGTCTGCAAAAATGGCTGAGCTCAGAGTAGAACAGTATGCTCTGCCATTCTTTTGTCATGAGAAGAGTTTTGCAAAATGTTTGGTCTGGAAAGAAAGTTACGTTGGAATTTCAGCTGATATTTTGATGATGAGCTAAACCAAGCTTAATGTTTGGAGCCTTACCAAAGTAGGTGAGCCTCTGCAAGGTGCTATGTTCCTGTGCTCTCTTCCATGTAGGAAGATGTCTACTGTGCTATTTTCTTGGATGCATAGCACACAGACTCACCTGGCTCACTCCATGACTAGTGTGAGAGCAGAGGTGAACTGTGTTTCTACTCTTCTTTGTTGCATGCTTATTCATTCCAAAGACTAACACTAAGCAAGGGAAAATTCTCAGTCTTCCTGAATAGAGGCTGTTATGAGTAGCTTTCAGACCAATGATATTTTTTCTTGGGATTATTTTCAATATTACATATTACATATTACAATATTGCTTCTGAAAGAATATTATTTGTGCATTACGGTTATTTCATTTGGTTTGTATATGTGTACATGTGTATGCACTGCTATGCTACTAAGTTCATGAAATATATTGTGTTTCTGTATCCATGCGAAAGTCATAGTTTCAGGTGATGAGTACAATATTGGTATGAAGAAAGAATAAAAAAATAACTAAGAAGCAGCCATAATTTAAATGTGAAATACATAGGTATAACTCAAAAATTAAACTCTGCAAAACAAGTTTTGGTTCTTCATAGTTCAGCTACAATTGTTCTTATGCATAACTAGACCTACCATCCAAGGACAAATATCTGACTGCATAGTGAAGGTGCATAGTGGTGACACTGAAGTAATGGAAAGTGGTGTCATGGATATACATGTAAGGATACAATCAGCTACAGAATCAGTTTTGTCCTTTTTTAAATTCAGCTGTTCAGTGCTGCCAGGTACTGTGCAAGCTAGGAAATCTTTCCTAAAATTCATAATAAACTAGTAATGCAGTGATGGAATTATTCTTTTTGGTTAGGCAACAATACATTTGAATAATTTATATCTACCTTTGTACGTTTCAACTATTCCTACGGCTTTCTGTGCTTTGAGCAAAGGGAGAATTTTACACTTCAAATTCTATAAAAATAAAACACATAAGTTACTGAATGAACATAGCTTTTGTTTAAAGCATTGAACCCCTTCCATCTCAGCATTATCACTATATTCCTTCAGTTTGAACAAGTACCCTGTAAGTCACATATTTCCATTTTTGCCTTATCTGGGAATAGCTTGTTTAAACAATTTCTTTGTTCTACAGAGTTGATTTTCTCTTGAAATACGTTTAAACTTTGTTCAGAAACTGTTCTGCAGGTTGTAGTTGATTTTTGTCTGCACAAAAATACCCTGGTTTTAGATGTATATTTAAAATATTATTTATTAAAATGTTCAATTTAAGAGAAGAATTTTAAATGAGCAATTTCTGATTTAAAGGGTGAAGATTAGAAGAATCTTATTGGTGCACAATTTGTCCCATAGCATGTTTTTTTTTTTTTTCTTTTGACTACAAGTAAGGAAATTGATGTGATTCTGTAAGTAGGTCTATACAAACAGCATTTGTTTTTAGAAAGGATGAGAAAGAGATGAAATTTATTCTGTTGTTTCAGAAGGCATCTCTATCCTTTATTCGGGTGTAATATTCAGTTGTAATTTTCATAGAACAGTAGACAGGCATTCTGGAAGGCAGAAATTAGAAAATAAATAAAATAAACAGCACAGAGTTATTTCATGATGACAATATACTCAGGAAAGATTTGTAAAGACCACTATATAGCCCTATATAAATCATAACATCTTCAGTAAATTTTTCTTGGTTAAAAAACTATTCATGATCTCTGAAAGGAGAACACCTCTACAAGAATATTATAATGAATGAAGAAAATACTGAAATGCTACATGGTAGCCTTGACATGTGAGTCTTTTCCAGGATCAATGACATATCCTTCCTTTGGGTCTGAAATGCCAATTTTGTTTCTTTCTTCCTCTTAAATCTTGTTTATTAAAAAGGAATAAGAATTACAAATTGTCTATATCTATATAGACAATAATTTCTAAATGTATAAATATCTGTACCAAGATAAGAAATTCTCCAAAAATCAGGCACCTCATTTTCTGATTTTGAAATAACAATATGACTCGACAAACCAAAATTGGTAACAAAAGAACTCAATCTAACTGGATCTAAACTGCCTAGAGCAATAATTATTAGATAAAGAAGACAGGCATGAAATGGTCACTGAAAGCAAAAGAGAAGACAAAAATTATTCATGTAGGTAACCTTAATTAAATCAAAATAATATAAATAATAAAGACAACGTACAGTTGCATCATTCATATGAGTATTAAAACTACCCATCAGCAAAATTTTAATGTAATGTAGTTTAACATCAAGTAAAGTCTGACAATAATTCAGAAACATACTTCAAGCAAGGTATGACTCCAAGGGCAGGCCATAAATAACAAACGTAACAAAGGAAGCACTAGCTCAATGAATAACACAACTTAATACTGAGTTTATGCTCAGCTTCACTATTGAAATTACACTCATGTAACTATCAATTTCAGTGGAGGCCAAAAGTTATAACACTTGAATATCACTCTGATGAATAAAGCTCAGATTCTCATTTCTTCTGTTTCATCACCTGGACATTAAAGATCCTTAGCAGTGCTTGTTGTATTTTTCTGCCTCCTTACCGGTCAGCATTTTACATGCTATTTAAGAACAATTCTCCAAAAGATTGGTGTCTGGAACGTATTCCCTAATTCTGACTGTATGCTTAGACACTGAATTTGCTTGAGACTCAATTTCTATTTTTATTTTTATTTTTTAATCCATGGTTAGTCATAAACATCCTATAGATCACCAGATTTTTTGTACACATAATTTTCCCTTTTTTAATCCTATATCACTGCAAAATTGCTTAAGGATTTCCCATGCCACAGTCTACTTTTCAATAGTATAAGACACAATTGTACAACCCTAATAATTTTATTAGGCAGTTCTTTCACTGCAGTACAAAGATTATGTTGGAAAAATGCTATCACACAGTTCTTAAAATCTATTTATGCATACTAATCAAACTATGGTTTTTCTTTGTCACTGAAGCATTAAAAATATCTGATACATAAGGATGAGATATATGAAATGTTATATATGTCTGGAAGCACTTGCATTCTCCTTTTGTTTGTTGTCTGTAAGAAGGAAATCTATATAGGTGTCTAAAGCTAGAATTCTGTGAATCATAACGCACAGAGAAAGCAGTCACTTAACATTTTGTCTCTCTTTTTTAAAAATTAGAAATATTTCTGCTTTCTTTAATTCTTTTAGCATTTTCACGGGCCTCCATATAAAAGGTGAAATCATAAATGAGGTCTCCAATATTATAGGGTTTTTTTGTTCGTTTGTTTAGCATTATAGCAGCAGCACTGTTGACACCTGGTGCTTGTTATTCCTAAGAGTTCTGATTACCTCTTGAATCTCTTCAAAAATTTGGCTCAGTTGTCTGGAAAATGGCCACTTATTATTAGCCTTTTTATTCTCTTTATGGAGCTTGTCTGAGTACTCCTATAATATTTCTATAGTTGTATTCCTTGAAATAAAATTATTTCCATTTTTATTATTTATCAGACTTTTCATTATTTATATTCTTTCCTTCATGCATTGATACTCTTGTAAAACTCTTGTACAGTCTCTGTATCCCTTGGCTCAATCGTCAGAAGCAAAATCTCTATAAAATATAATGGTAATGTTTCAGACTTGCCTGAGGAACAAATGTACAATTTACCGATGACGTCCATCATATCATACTAAATATCTCCTCCACAATAACCATGAAAAGCCCCTAATCTTGTATTTGAATTTCCCAGAATATAAGATATGTTGTATATATAGTATAATCTGTTCATATTAATGTAGTTTTAATATCATGAAACATCTCTTTTTTTACTCTACACTTAGCATGTTAAGACTGTGGGAATTACAAGACATCGTACGATTGTTGAAAATATTCAGAGAACTGATCAGATATTAATCTTTAGTGAGAGCAAATATATTTGTGAAATAACTTCTGAGCTATCTCCTTTTAATGTTATTTACATATTTGTCCACTAATGACTTTTAATGGCTTTTGATAGTATGTTTAACTGTTCCCATTTCATGTTGTGTACTCCTTCTTCCACTGTGAATATATAAATTTGTGTATCCTATCTCTGAGAAGACTACTAATTATGCACAACTCTGCTTTAGTTGCTCCATAAAAAAATTCCAGAATTTTGGGCCTAAATAATGTTAAATGTTCCATATTTCTAATTCCTAGTCTTTTCTGTCTTTCTCCTAATCTTTTCACATTTGATGGCAATTATTCATATTATCTGCATTTTTTCTGAAGTTTTTCAGATGTGTCCCTAAAATTATGCTTTACCATAGATCAAAGAAGCCATTACTAAATCTCTGTTTCCCATAAACATCCTTTTAAGCTGTAGATAAAATCATTCCTAATCTTCTCTAAAATATTGAGCTCGTGGAGTATTTAGCTATGAACAGAATTGAACTGCCAGGCCTGTAAAATGTTTTTCTATCAACTGATTGTGATATACCAATGTTCTTCTTGAAACATTGCAGCTAGAGATGGTGTGTTTGGCAATGCTTAGGATGTTGCTAAACATACAAAGAAGTAACACTTTTCACTGAAATGTCCCTTTTCTTGAAAATTCTGGGAATGGTATTGTCATGGGATTTGATTAATTTCCTCTCCAACCAAATGGTTTTGGGTACATGTTGTGATGTAAGATTCTGACAAAACGTTTTCTTCATAAAATTTATATTTTCATTTAACCTTTAGAAAATCTTTTCAGTTTTTACCCAATTCACTTAAAGTGTCCTGTTGGATTTGTATTAGCTGTTCATCTAACAGGTTTGCTACCTTTCACTTACATCAAGATGTGAGTAATCTAAAACCTTTATCAGTGATGATTTATGTTACTTCTAGATGAGTGTGGATGTTTTTAAAAAATATGGGTCACAAAAACTGCAAATTGCATCACTGAGGTTTCACATAAACAACTTGTGCAGTTTCTTGAAGTCATCACATTTTTCTTTCCTCTTCATCCTCTATTTGTATTGCTCCAAATCACAGAATAAAATTCTCAAAGGTAATGGGCATTAATTTTAAGTTAAGGCTATATCAGGCAATTTGACATTTTATACCTCTTTTACTTTTCCTTTTCTAAATGAGCACTGGTAATGCATATATTTTGTGTACTGGAACAGGTCATGTCCCTTTCTGTCACAGTCCACCTTGTTTTGTGATTACGCACCCTTGAATGCATAATGGAGATATGGCCACTTGTGCATAAAGAAACATAGGGTAAATGAAGTGTAAAGATTTGTGCTTTATTGGACGGCACTTTTTGAACTTTTTTTCCATGAGCGAATTATTCAAAATATCTTCATAAATGGTGCATAACTTTAAATTTGATCCATAGAATGCAAGTCATATAATTGATTCTCCTCCTTGACTTCAGCCGTTCTATGATCATAGCATTGCTTTTCATATTTTGAGTATTTTTTTTTAATATTGATATTGTTATGTGAATAACATAAAGCAGTGTCTAATATCTTAATCTGTTACCCTTATTTCTTCTGCTTGTTTAAATTACCCTTCATGCTGTCTTGCAAGGTCATTTCTCTTGCTGAATCAGAACACAATTTCAGACGAAGATATCTGCTTGAATTTGGAAACAGACTGAAAATTGATATTGATATAAGACACACTGAAAGTGATGTTAGGAATATGATCAAAACCCACAGAGGAAAGTCAGAAAAAGGTAAAGAGAAATTCTGAAAGAGTATGGCTCTTTTTTTTTTTTTTTTTCTTTTTTTCTTTTTTTCTGCTCAACGTTTTAAGATGGATCTGTTCAGTTTGGGTTGCTTTCCTATGCTATGTGGAGATAGACAAAAAGTCTGCTGGAAATACTTAGGTGAAAATGAAATTCTTACACTATGAGCTGTCAAAACTGAGCTTCTACTCTGTTTGTAACACACAATTATTGTTATTTTTTTAATATATGCTGCACAGACTGAAAGTCTTCTTTATAATATGTGTAGCTGCTTGTAAGTCACTAGCAGATGCTGTGTATAAGAAGCAGATTCCTGGTAGTCTGCATTCCTCACTAATATATTTTTCATGTTTATATTCTAAAAGTCACAAAGACATGAAATTTTCTTGAGATAATAATTTATGATTAAATGGAGACTGGGTTGTCAGCATATAATCAAAGGAGGGGACATTATTGTGTTTGTAGAGTCAGATTATGCTAACAGCATGGAGCTGCCTCATTCCCCTACAAGCACAATGAGATATTCATCCACAGTTTCAAGTCTGAAATGCTTTTTGTAGTGGTGATTACATTTGTTCCATGTTGTCTTCAAACTGCTTCTGTGCTAGAATAGTGTCTGGCTCTACCTACCACTTGAGTTACCTCCTATAGAAGTGCTGTGGGATGAGTGAACTACTAAATCTCTAGAAATTCTTAAATTCTCATAACTAAACTATTTTTTCTGATACCTCTGACTAAAATGACAGAATTCAGTTTCAGAATTCATGAACATAACTGATACAAACATCCAGATATCATCGTTAGTATTCTCTTTTTACAGAATGCAGTGGAAGGAAAA